TATAATTATGCAGTTTGATTACTTTGCTTGTGTTATGAATTTCTTAGCCATGTGTGAGTAATTCACTTGTTAGAATTAGGGTTTAAATATGTTAGTAGGATTAGCTCCAACTATAAGATCGCTTGTTGTGGTATTCTTTAATAGGTTGTTTTTAATGCTTATGTTCTAGACTTGCTAACTAGAAACCCGAATCTAGGATTGTTAGGTTATTTAAGCATCCTTAGATAATTCCTGATAATCTTGACTACATCATGATTAAGCTAGAATTTTTACTAGAGAGAAGGCAAACGCTTAATCTATAGAATCAATAGTGAGTATAGATTAACTCGCGTGTAAAACTTGACAAGCCGCATCAGTCGATATTCCCATTGGAAATCGAATGACGTCGTGTAAAGTGTATCGATTGATATTTCTATAGAATAATCGATCGACACTGTTATTGATCGGACATTCCTGTTTGGGTCGACAATAATCTAGTCACTAGACTTATTTATTGAGCAAAAGTTTAGTAAATCTGTTATTAAGATAGTTAAACTCTTTAATACCATGCAAACAACAAATTAGCACCTATAGGATTATAGTCTCCAACACCTGAATAAAAGCCCTAAGTCTAACACCTTTCCATTTAAGTCACAGTCCCTCATTCCATTCTTGTCGAGTAATTGTCTTTGCTCAATTAGAATATTTACTATTTTCTGTCTAATTGTTTACTGCGATTATACATTTAATATACATCTAGTATTATTGCTTGATAGATTTAAGTTGTTCCTTAACTCCTTGTGGATTTGATCCCTAAGTAATGCAATAGATCTCTTATTTGAGAGATTAAGTTGCTCTATAGGGTAATTTGAGCACGTATCAGTCATAATTTGATTACCAAAGTGAATAAATAAAGAAATAAACCAAACCAAATTAAAATAAAAAAATAATTATATTATGTTTGTATTTTAACTAATAAAATTAAAAAATTAAAATTGAAAATATTATTTATATAAATAATAATATTTTTAAAAAAAATTATATATGCGCATTGGGCACGAAGACTCCTAGTTTCTAATTATTTGATCATACTTAGTAAAATATTTTTTAGCTTGTATAAATATATTATTATAATAAAGCAATCATATTAGCTGATACTTATATCTTAACAAAATATGTATATTTTACTCCATTCATATACTTTATTTATTTATATCTAACATTTCATATTGATAATGTAATGTGCTCCTTCATAGCAGGGACAATAATACTAGCTAGTATCTCATAACTCACTATCTTTTTTTCAGTTTTCCAATGTCTCTTTAAGTATTTTATCTTCTTATTTTTTTTTAAATATGGTTATTTAGTTTCTAGATTTCACTTCTGTATTGACAAAAAAAGATTTCACTTCTGTATACAAATATTATTATACTAGGTTAGATCCGCACCTTGCCCGGAATGAATATTTTGTATACATTACTTTTACGCATTATATATATTTTTTACATATTATAAAATAATAAATATATATTGATAAACAAAATTCAGTAACTATTATGTATATAATTAAATTGGTGTAAATATAGAAATATTTTTTTATTAATTTAAACAGATATTTTCTATTTTATATGATATACAATTAAGTTTAAACGATATTATCGTAGAAATATAATACATTTTTAATATTGATATCAGTTAAATTATAGTTTATACTCATTTTATTTTTTGTTCATTTTTATATTTTATAACAGAAATTTTAAATCACTGATAACAATTTTTATGTGTGGGATGTTTAACAATTTTTAGTAATTTATAATTTAAAAACATTATGCAAAGTTTAAAACTAAATATTAAGTTGTCAATATTTGTTCAAAATTTTTATCAAAAAAATCAAAGCAAATTAAATATAAAATACATTTATATTTTATATGGTAAATAATTTATTTTGATTAATATATATATATATATATATATATATATATATATTAAATGAGACTTCTTACTTTATAATTTTGTAATCATTTCTATTTTTTTATAAGAAAATTTAACCATGGATCCCAAAAATTATAATGTGAGATTTTTTAATAACTTTAGTCATTTATAGTCGTTTTAAAAAATTCAAAGTATAGCATATACAAAAAAAATCTAAATTTTTATTATATAGTTAATGTACTTGTTTAATTTATTTTGATAAGTGAAAATTAAAAAAAAAATACACTAATTTTTATCAAATCTTTATTATTGAAAATCTCTAATTGTCATATATTCTTTAATCATATTTGTAAATTCCGTTATTTTTATTTAAGGAAACAATGAAAAAAATTAATAAATCATTTATGGTTAGTTTAATAAAAACTTATTATATATTTAGATGGACCAACATATTTTTCTAAGGATTTTAAGAATGATTGTGGTGATGACACGCGGCTACAAAAAAATGTTGTAATGCTTCTCCTTTAATATATAGGGGATATATATATATATATATATATATATATATATATATATATATATTTATTTGGAGATAAATCTACTTAATCACATGACTCATCCAATCCCAAACTAACTTATTTATTAATCTTTCTAATAAAGTAAAGAAAATTAGATAATAGAAACAAATTTTCAGAATAAATTGGTTAGTTTTATTATAGAACACATCCAATCTAAAATTAAATACATATTGATCACATTTTAATTGTTTTTAACTGTCCTATAGGGAAAAGAACTAGACTTTTAAACTTTTTAGATTGCTAATGATTTTCTACCTATTATATTTTATTTCTTACCTTCTTTATGTAGTATTGATTCCCATATAAGTTAATTCTGTACACAAATCCATTTATATATAAATCGAATTGTGATGTAATTATATTTATTATCAACTTCTTCCGTACAAAAAAAAACACAAATCAAATGGTGGAACTTCCTTGGGAATTGGAGGTAAAAATACTCTCTCTGACTCCAACAAAGTCTCTCACTCGTTTCAGATCCGTTTGCAAACGATGGAACACTCTTTTCAACGACAAACCTTTTGTCAACAATCATTTGTCTCGTGCTCATGCTCATCCACAATTCATCGTGTTTGCCGAATCAAAGATTTTTCTGGTGGATGTTAATCTTGATGGTCCATCTATAGAGGTGCATAACTTACCCCCGTTTATTCCTGGTTATAGAGATTTTTTGGTCACCACAGTCGGATGTTGCGATGGGTTATTGATGTTTTCTACCTTTAGCGGGACCGGTATATGCAACCCATGGTTGAGACAGATTAGATGGAACAAATCCACAGTAGATCTTTCCAGTGGGATAGGATATGACAATAGTAGACCTGACAAACAATACAAGATCTTTCGTTCTTGGAAATCTAGTGATACAACTCTGCATGCTAATATCATCGGGTTTGAATCTAATGCAACGAAATCTAAAATGTACGAGTTTCCAATGGAATTATATGATAGGTCCACAGTATCCTTGAATGGAACTTTGTATTGGATTGCCTATAGTATAATGCCTCGTGAACATTATATTCAAACGTTTGATTTCTCTACAGAGAGATTTGAATTCTACTGTAACTTGCCTACAAAAATATACACTCGAGACGATCCTAGATCTCTTGATGTCTATAGGGGGGATCGGTTTTCTTATTTAGAGAAATTACGTCATTTAAGGAATATACAGATTTGGGTGACCAAAAAAAAAATTAAAAATAAGGAAGGGGAGGCTGTGGAGTGGATGAAGTTCATGAATGTGTCACTTCCTGAATGGTCAAGTTTCGAAGTGTTTAGCACCGATTCGCCTAGTTATTTCATCGATGATAAAAGTATTAGTCTCGTGATGTGTTGTTATAACAAGAAACAAAAGGCTACCATCTATATTGCGAAGGGGGATAAGTTCAATGAAATTAAAATAAATGATTTGGTTGAGGAGAATCATCCACTTCACCATACCTATTTTCCTAGTCTTGTCCAAGTTCCTATGTTCACAATGAGCGGTCAGGTGCCTGTTGAGTCCTGCTTCACACTCCCTAAAGGAGTAGAGGCGAGCAATGGAGTTGGAGGAAACGAGTGGGACGATGGCTTCTTCGACCGTGTAGTGAAAATATATGTAGGACAAAGTGATCTTGGTTGCGTCTTCGTTAAGTTTGACTACATCAAAGATAACACAACTGTAGCTGGAGCCGGTCACTGGAATGCGATAACCCTTATTCCTGAGCCAGAGGACAGCAGGACCGGCCCTAGACCAAATGAGGTAAAGCCAATATTTTATACGCTAAATAATATTATATATTTGAAAGGCAAAAAATTTCAAGTTCGGGCAATCTCTTCTTTTAAAGAGATGGAGGGTTCAATATTTATCTTCTACCTTTCAAAGATAATATTATTTTATTGTTGGTTTAAATCTTATTGGTAAGGATTGGGCACGAGGCAAGTATCTCGACTGGCCTTGCCCAAGTATTAAAAAATCTCGCCTTGTACTTGTACTTGTATGTGTACTTGTACTTGTACTTGCTATTACCAAGTACTTGGTTAAACAAATACTCTCCCATATTCAAGATACTTGCGAATAACTCGTTAGACTTGTACATGCTTTATGTAAGGTAAAACTTATGTACTTTGACCTTTAAAAAATAAATCTTATTTCGATTATTCTAAGAATAGGTGATTCTTTTTTTTATATCAATTTTTTTTTGTTTCACTTCTTTATTACAACTGATGTGGGATAATGTAGAGTAGAATTTGGGTAAAAAATGAGAAAACTATTTAGTTCTATATGCTTAAAAATGAAAAACTATAATCCATCTGACCGACATCAAGAATTTATTCCTCTGTTTCCTAGTTGTCACAACTCCAGTTTCCTATACATATGTTGTATACATCATTTTTTATTTTAAGAATTTAAAATATTTTACATAAGTATTAAACTAGCTGAAATAACAATATAAATGTTATAAATATTTTGAAAGTCAACTAAGGAGTCCAAACAAGTAAAGTAGTTAAACTAAATTTAAGACTTCATAGTTGGCTTAAACTTTCAAGTAATTAAATTTCATAATTTGTCACTTAATTTCCTTGATTATGACAAATATTTGTGTTTGTGAGACAAATACTAGATGGTAACGACTATAAACCGAGTAATGGGTAATTGTGTCATGTCCTGTCCATTGGGTTCTAGGTGCCAAAACATACTAGACCGCCCTGGAAGACAGCAGGGTTTTTTTTTATTTACTGATTTATACTTTCATGTAATTGATTATATAGGTTTGTTTACAGGTTATGATCGCTTACGATGACTACATCGAAGCCATCGAGGGGACCTACACTGAGAGTCAAATCACATCCATCACGTTTCAGACACACAAGAAAAGATTATGGCCACTACAGTGTGGACTCTTTAACGGAAAGCCCTTCGTGCTTCAAGGACAAAAAGGCTCGAAGATCATTGGGTTTTATGGAAGAAGCTCTGGTGACCAACTCACTGCTCTTGGCGTCCACCTCTCTTCCCCCAGCTAGATTTATCCATACTAAAAATCATATTTATGTATGCATGTGGTAAAATATAACTGATTACTACATCATGATTCGTGTGGTTGTATGGAATTATTTATATTTATATTTATAATTTAAGTTTTTAAATTAATTTTTGATGATTTAATGAGATTTTGTAAACTTCCATTCGCATCCATATTGCATTTTTGATTTGGTACCAGTTCGGTTATGGGTTTTGATTTTCGATTCAAGAAATATAGTAATAATTTGGTTATTTATGAATTTGAATTTGGTTTGAGTTTTTCTATTTTGGTTTTTGGTTTCATTCAAATAACAATTTAAGGAAATCAAAAACAATTGAGTTAAATTTGAGCAGTAGTTCTTACCCACGAGACCATGCAAATTTATTTTCATGTTTTAAACTAAAAATTCATGATTTAACGATATTATTCATGTTAGTCTTTCTATATTTATGAAAAAAAATATAACTTAAGAAAAATTTTAAGAAGATATTTGTATCTCATTGTTAAGATTGCTACGAATAGATCTGAGTATTCTGGATCCCAATCGGGTTTTGGTTTTGTCCAATCGGGTCTCAGTTTTTCGGGTTTATAAAATTCAGCTCCATTCGAGTTATATGAAAGTTCATTTCGGGACCTTGTTTGGGTTCTATCGGGTTTAGGTCGGGGTTAGTAAATATTTAAAAACCAGTATAACCCGTTATACTTTCGAATTTGGATCCCAATCAGTTCTTCGGTTTAAGAATACCTGATTTGTACATAATTTGTAACCAAAACAAAAGTAAAAATCGGTTCATCGGATTTAAAATACCTAATTGTTACCTATTTTAAAACCAAAGCATAAGAGAAATTGATTCAAAAATAAGAAAAGAACATCAAATTGTCATTCAAAATATATATAAAAAGGTAAATATCTAACACTATTAAAAGCGGGATAATAAGCCCTGTGAGCTATGTCACATTAGCAAAAAAAACTCAGACAAATCAGGAAGTCCGAAATAGACACGTAAGAACATTGTTTAATTGTTTAGTCCACATAGAACTCTTGCCGGCCTATTATTCGGTTGATACCTCTGATAAATGGCCCATAAGAGCCCAACTCTCATTCAAGCAACATTATCTTGATAAATACATTAGTGGCACTAAAGAGAGTTTACCTAAAGTAATCAATCGTTCCATCTCTGTTAACGTTCCCACTTCTTTATCTATCTTCTTTGTTGGTTGCAATTATGAATCATTAACTGATCTTTCTTCAAAACATAGAACCGACAAGATCACATAGCACTCTTATACTTCCCTTTTCTTATTCTATATAAGCTGATGATTCGCGGGAGATCGAGTCAAAGGAGGAGTAGGATGCTCTGGTACCGGAAGTTGCAGAGATGTACGTAAAAGCCATTAGATTCATCTTTTGGCCATCAAAGAAGAAAGGTTTGCTTTTCTTCTTACCATCGTTCTCAAATATGATGTTAAGTAGTTAGGATTATCAATGTATTCCTTCAAGTTTTTTTACAGCTTCTCTAATTCGATTTTTTTCCTTCTGGATTTTTGATTTTATTTAGATTTCTTCAATCCTCCGATTTGTATAGAAGCGCTGGAGACAAAGAAACTGCTGACAAGATATTCTAGGTATTACATATTGACTAATATAGCCTCACTATACTTATATTCTACACACCCCTTCAAGATGGAGGGAGTTTGATCACTCCAATCTGGGACATAAGTTCATGAAATCTTGTTCTTGGCAATGGCTTTGTGAGAGCATCAGCCAACTGGTCTCTAGTGGACACATGCGTCACTCTTAGTGCCCCAGATTGAACATTATGGCGCACGAAATAGAAATCAAGAGCGAGATGTTTCATCTTTGAGTGGAAGATCAGGTTGGCGCTTTGGTACGTTTCTCCTACATTATCAGCCGAACACCCAACTTAGAGAGAAGAGAGCAGACCCAACGCAGCTCAGCCGCCGTGTTAGCAATTGATCTGTACTCTGCTTCAGTAGAAGAGCGAGAGACCTCGGACTGCTTGCAAGAAGACCATGCGATAAGAGTGGTGCCCATGTAGACAATGTAGGAGTTGGTGGAGACGTAATCGTCTGTATCACCAGCCCAATTGATGTCTTGCATTATTGCATTGTTTTATCTACTCTTTTGCATATCTTTTCATCATGTAGGTTAGGATCTAGCCATGTTTAGGTTGCATTTTGCATACATGAGTCCCCTTTAGGTATTGGAGTTTCACATGGAAGCTTTGGAGACATTTGGGGTTCATTAGAAGTTCAAGAGGAGCAAAAGGAGTGATCTAGACCCGG